ACCAGTAGTCGATTACCCACTGGGTGCTAATTTTTCTTTTTCCCTCAAGAGGGCTTTTGGCATGTTGTGTTGATTTCAGTAAAGTTCCATTTATCCTCCCCACGACGCTTCACTCGATCATAAACTATTCGTTGATGACAGAAGCTGTCAACTAAGACTGCCTACAGTCCAGTTTACTTTGGATGGACACGGATGCCAAGGTCATTTAACATTTGTCCCTTTGGAGAGGGGGAGATGACGGGTGGGTTTTTTTATTTCGGCTACTTGTGAGTATAGAACGGACTATTACTGTGGGTTCCATCACTGGTTAGGTGATGGAGTTTTTTTCCCTTTTTCTTTGTTGGGAGCTCAGTTACACTAAACAGTCCGTGGCTACAACATGCAGCGCTAACTCCTCTGGCTACACCCACCTGCACAGACAGTAGTGACTGCTTTTTTTTTTTTCTGTAGGTGATGGTGGTAGTGGTAGCAGTAGTACTGGTACTGGATGGGTGATGTGGTAGCTGTTACACTAGCCACATTTACTTCTCATTACACATTAATGCTAACCATCTGTCTCTGGGTGGACACGGATGCAAAGCTCAGTTTAGTTACATATTTCGTCAGATGATGACTTTCCCATCCTTCGGCGATATGATTAGTGGGGGAGGGGGGGGGGGGGTTGGGGGGTTGATGGCAGACACTGTTAACTGAGACAGCTTAAAACATTATTTTAAATTTATCATTTCTTAACTATTTCTGTTTTAATAATTTCGCCAAGGGATGATTTTTTATTTCTTCTGAGAGGGACATATGCCAGACACTGTTAGCTGAGAAAGCTAAAAACATTATTTTCAAGTTCTCATTTCTTAATACTTTCGCCAGGGATGATTTTTCAATCCTTCGGAGAGGGAGATATGACTGGGTGGAGGGGAGATGGATGGGGGGAGTGGAGGGTTATGCAGACACTGTTAGCTGAGAGCTACTTTCTTTCTTTTCCATTTCACCATTTGGGGCTACAGCAACGCGTGGCAGGGCACAGCTAGTACAATTTTAAAGGATGCCCAAAGAAGGGCAATAAAGATGCACATAAATACCAGAAAATACTGTAACCAGTCAACAAATAAAACAACAACAATCGCGCTCGTCACAGCACAGAACGTCACTATCGTCACGGCACGGCTGAACGTCTCTCTCTCTCTCTCTATATCCAGACCTTCCAGCCAAATGTGTTTTCAAAGCCAATGCATCTTTAACTCTTTGGGTCCCAAGGAACACATCATATGTTCATAAGTTCCTACCTAGAAGCGCCGATTTTATGACTCAAAGAGTTAATGTCCTGTGTCCACGTTCAAGGAGATCTACCTCAGCGTAGTTTTCCAGAGAATGTACCCTGCATCACCGCTCTCTCCAGGCCACCCTGAGGTTTAACGTGACTAAAATACTTTAGCTTTCAGGACAAGATGCTGTTATATAAGCCACACTTTTAAAATACTTTAATATGACACCAAAACAGGAGTTTTTACACCTACCTTGAAGACATCAGACAACCTGAGAATAATGATCTCAAATCTATCTTCTGGCTTGAAAGGAAAATCTGGCTGCCCCCTTTCTTCCTCTCCCCATGACCCACCAGTCTGTGAGTTGCGAACTGTGCAGCCTTCATTGAAACGTGGGTTAAAATGGAAGGCAACATCACAGCTGCCATTGATATCATCATCACACTGGAGGTTGATGTAAAATCTGTCAGCATCTTTCTTGGGTGTCCCAATGAACTTTACCCATGAGCCAGTTTCAAAAGTTCCTGGCAGTCTGTCAATAAAGGGTCTGTCCTGAAAATAATGTATTATTGTGTTGTATCTGTTATTTAGTAACAGATGATGGTAGAATTTGATTCAGAATGAGACAGAAATCAAACATGAAAAACCAAAATATTTTTAACATGAGAAAATATAAACATCAAGAGCAGGACTATTCATCTGGTGGCCCGTAGCAAGTGGGTTACAAAAATTATTGCCAGTTGTACTGTATCAATGATCTTTTTATGCTGAGGCTCAGGCCTCTGGCTCGTGACGATCCCTGTTTTTGAAAATATTAGCCCCTGAGTGAAGTTGAATAGCCCTGGTCTAGAGAGATAAGACATTTAAAATAATTATTTTTAAATTTATAGTAAACCAGATGCCTGTCCTATGTTGTGGGGGTGTCACGCTTAGTCGCCAGCCACCAAAACAGCATTTTACTTGTTGTTGTCACCGGCCAGCAACATCGTGTGTTCTATATTCCACGATGTGAGTGCTTTTAACAGTCCCAAAACATGTAGAACTAGCCCAACCATCCCTACCCCACAGCCTCAGCCTATGTTCTAAGAGAGTGCAGCATATGTCCCTATAATATACACTGCATACAGCCGTATGACCTTGGCTGCATGCAGTCATAGGACGTACGCTGAGACCCTGTGACACGACGAGGCATGAATAAGAAGGGAAGTCACTCTCTTTCTGGATAGGAAGACTTTAATATAACCCATATACAAATATTAAAGTGTGGTGATTTTGACAAACAGCTATGGGGGTAGGGGGAGAGACAAAGTCTTTATACCATAAATCAAGTGATATCTCATATTTCACCTTTCACCTTGAGCATAGTTAACTCAGGGAGCCACCAGGGTGTAGCAGCTAGTGGCTCACCTGCAGATCGGAAAGGTCGTGGGTTCAGGATCTGATGGTACCAGAGCTGTTTGAAAAATGACCTCAGCTTTCAGGTCGTCCCAGCCTTAAATGGGAACCAGGTAGAGCCCTTGGAAGTAAAGGTGGCTAGGGTGCAGCTGATTACATCACCCACCAAGTGCAGTTGGTTTATAAAATATAGGTCTAGCCCTATATGCCCAATACACTTGAAGGGGTTAAAAAGGGTCCTTTACCTTTTTACTTTTATAACCCTTCTGAGAATTTGCAAATCATCTGCATTATGCTTTCCCCATACATCATAAAGATCTGAACCAAACTAGCAGGGAATCTTAGATTTCAGATTTCAAAGAGCACAGCTCATACCCTAGCAGTTCACATGGAAAGTAGGTTGCGGCAGAACAATGCTACATGCAGACGATATCATATAGACAAGGAAAAAACTGGCTTGCACTTATAAAAATGCTACAGCATGAACTAGACAGACTCAGTGAATGGTCTAGGAGTCAAGAGCACAGTTAAACCCAGCAAAGGCTTCCTTGGTTTGGTTCTCCTTGAATACTTACATTGTCAATATACCTATGCCAGGCGTAAGCATGTGCGGTAAAAACATCGGAATGACGGACAGAATGAATTATCTTGGTTTGACCTTCAACAAATGTTTATTGTACAAAAACCACACTGACAATGTGATAATTAGAGCCAGAAAAAGTCTGACAGCAGTGATGCAACAGCCAATATTGAACAATGCTCATTTCTCCTTCATTATCAGTGCTTTGTGTTACATACTTCGGTCTAGGCTGTCAGCAAAACCCAGCTAAAAAGATTGGAATGATGACAGAATGAGGCTATGAGACTCATACTCAGAACACAACAGACATTTTACAAAATGCCATGCGGTAAGCCTTGTATTTACTGATGATGGCCACCAGACATAAAGTTGCATAGGTGAGGGTACATATGATAGTATCATGAGACATCAACCGCCCACTGCACAATATTACTGATGATGTCAAAGGGGGAAACGTGAAAAGCGTTCTCTCTTCAAACACCAAGGATGAATATATATTCTAGCAGTTATGTGATTTGGACAAGCTCAGAACATCCAGAAGACATTATCCACAAAGATGGGTCTGTGAAACCTGGGATATGATCCACAAATGGGTCTGTGAAACCTGGGATATGATCCACAAATGGGTCTGTGAAACCTGGGATACGACCCACAGATGGGTCTGTGAAACCTGGGATATGATCAGAATGGGCACACCAATAAAAGAGGATAGTGGTGATTAGCAGGCCAGTTTGACCATGGAGGTAACTGCTGCTTCAAGAGCTCTCACATAGGTGGCAGAACAAGCAGCCACACATGCAGTGATCAGACTCCATGTACAGGCTTCAGAAAATTGCAACAGGCAGCCTGCATTTTTACTGGGCTGGCAGCATTTGTAAGTCCCACTTAACCTCCCTAACTTGGATCTACACACCTGGGGATGTCGGAGTAAAAGGTGAGGAACAAGCAGATCAGCTAGCAAGTACTGCACATCTGTTTGTTGGAAAATGCATGGACTCAGCAGAAATCATTAAGGTTGCACAGAATAGTAAATAGTTGTGCCTCTCTGACATTAACCAATTGCTTGAACTCCGAGTAAAGCCTGATGAACTGCGTCAGTGCCATCTTTGAGGTCAAGATAGGAGACATTATAATCAACTTCTCATAGGAACAGTCAGGAGAGGTCCCTAGGGTGCCTGCTGCATAATGAACTGAGCATGCTTGGGGCTTTATGTGCACCTCGCCAAATGTGATAACATAACAGTGATATTACACGTACGTCACTGCACTGTTTATGTGATAGTATCAATGCCAAAGTTAGACACTGAATTTATCATGTTTGTTGCTATAATGTCAGGAACTACATCTTAGCAAATGTGACTTTGGATCTCCCATTGTGACAACTAACACCTGCTTCTGGAGTGTCCAATAAATGAAAAAAAAAAACGAAAATGCTATTATCATACACTGGCTCCAGTTGAGGACAAATTCTGTGATGATGGCAAATCCGTAATTGACAGCTGCTTTTATTAGACACATTCAGGCTGCTGTTTGAAAGTTTAAGAAGAAAATAAAAATGAAATGTTAAGAATAAATATTCTAGTTTTCCCTACAAGGTGGCATTAGCGGCATGCATAGCTGTGCTGTCCTGCCTAGGAAAGCTGGGATTTGACTTTTCATAATCTGACTATTAATTTGACCAGCTCATCTGAAATTGAGAACATTGCTTTTGTCCCTTCCAACAAGTTTGCTCACTAAATAATGTTCGCTACAAAAAATGTACATACTAGCCTCCTCAGCAGTTTGACTTCATAAATGTAGGCTTCACCCTGTACATTGATGCCTTTGATATCTTCCACATCTCCTCTTGCCTTAAAGCTTGCAAAGCGGTGTCCATTAACATAGATCTGTCAACAGAAAGAACACTTTATAATGAACTGGACAACTTTAGAGCATATTGTATCTTTTGAATTATGTGTGTCTTTTCAAAATTATACTGATATAATACATATTTAACAAGGAAACATTTTTTAAATGTAAAGGTAAAGGTAAAGTCGGGAGATATGAACCGGCGTCACTGCACACGGTTATAAACCATAAGTGCTCTGCCACCAGTACGGACACCAGATAAGAAACTGTCCGCCTGTGTCACCATCGGCACACAACTCTGTAGCTACAGCAACGTTCCTCCGTTTATCCCAGAGTGTTAACTCTGGTACCCATTACCTAGAGGCTGTGTGAACCCCGGGAACCATCTGGTTTTAAACACCGGCTGTAGGCTGCAGCAAGTCACAGCTGAATTTGAAAGCGAGTCTACTATCGACTGCGCTAATGCGGCTCCCTTTAAAATGTAAGCAGGGAGAAAACAAAACACACACACACATTTTATTAAAACTGATAGTCCTGAATACTGACTTTCTACTAGGCTCCTAACTAGTAAGTTCTCTTGCTTTTGAGATCTGTTGAAACCTTCTCAGTTTAGATGGGTGGGATTAATCTTCACCATTCTTAGTTTGCTGCCATGACACTTCTAATAAACTCCACCTACTCATGATCTAGGCTAAAGTTTCTCAGTATCCCCCTCCCTTTTTCCCCCAGGTAGCGCTGGAACAGTTGGGGAGGGGGGTATGTGTGCTGTAGCCACCAGTGCAACTAGAAGCATTAGAACAATTCATGGGTGTGGTAGTAGCCTCAGAATATAAAAAGCTAATATATACAATTTCAAGCTTCGAGATACTTCTTTCCTGAATGTTTTGTAAAACAGGAAGTAAAATAGATATATAAAAGAAAGTAAATATGTCACTACATCTTTCCATTTGTTGGATTATAGAAGGAAAAAATTCCAGAGGTGAAATTAAAAAAAACCCAAAAGGGTGAATCTATAATCTAGACTAACCTTGAACTTTTTACCCTTGTTCACAATCTCCACCTCAAAGGGTAGCTTCTGTTGAAACTGACTGGGCAGAGGATGCCTCTCCTCTTTTTTCCAACATCCATTTCTTTGGTTGTTAATGACAACTGTGTCTTGATTGCGACGAGGATTGAAGTGAAGAGCAATATCATTTCCAAGGGAAGTTCCATTGATCAAGTTAACTGCAAAACTGCATACAAATGACAAACAAATAGATCGATTAAGCATATGGTCATATTTAACAGCATGTTGCCGTATACATAAACACATAAAACTATTTGTCGCCTTTAAATACTACAGAGAATTTTCAATTGAAAGGTCAATTTTTTCATATTCTGCATGGTGTATTTTTAAATCCAAGACCTTCAGTCGGCAGGTAATCATCTAATGACTATGTTACCACAGCCTACAAATATAACTATAATATGGCCGTCGCTGTTATGAACATACAGCAGTTTGTTTTTAAATACTGCAAACAGTTTTCTGTTGATATCCCTACACTATCTTACCCATGAAGGTCAAGATTGTTTTGTATGTGAGTTTTATGTAGTTTTACAATGTAAGCCTCCTTTTGTGACTTTTGGGAGCTTAGCTATTACTTAAAGTTGTAGTATTTTTGACATAAATATCCTGTTCAACACTCATGGTTTTAACTGAGATATAAAGAGTTCACTACATTCTTAGAGTATAGATTATTTTATATATCCTGTAATTATTTACTGAAGACAATTATGTAATCTGTATTTGACTGCATTGACACATTTTAGAAAACAGTCTTACAACGAATCTTTAAACCCACCAAAGATGCAAAGAGTGGGGTTTGGAGAGTGAGAAGCAATACAGAAATTCAAAATCTGTTTAAATTACCACTGATCACTCGCATCTGTATACATAAGGGAGATAAATGGTCATTGACCACGAGGCAGTCCAAGAAGACAATGGAGAGATAATGTCAAGACAGACCTAGAAACACTTGGTGTCACCAACTGGAAAGAGAATGCCAACCAGAGGGATAAATCGAGGGGGATGATGTCTGTAGCTATGAACTTCAAGGGCTCAGAATGCTGAAGAAAAAAAAAATTTAATCTGTATTACTGTATCAAATATAGTTTAGTTTATAGCTTTTTGGGTTGTGATTAATACGGAAATTCAATATGAATATATAGATAATGTTACTAGCATTGTGTCAATAAAACAGTGCATTTTTTTTATGCCCTTAAGATAATTGTTGATTGTCCTTACTGATTTTAATCTTAGAAGTAATTATCTTCAAAAGTGGCATGGGATTTCCTTACCCTTCTTTAAATGGATTTAGTTCTAGCAATAAACTGCCGGAGCTTGCCATGCAGCTCTCCGGGGCGGTAAACATGCAAGAAGTTTTCCTTCGTCATAAGTATTTTACAGAAATTCATTAAGTCAGTTAATCTAAAAGCAGAAGTTTAAAGACTGAACAGCTAGTTTTTTTCTTTCAACACAGAGAAACAGCCATAAACGAAACACTCTGCATCCGGTTAGACAAAAGTAAAGCTTCATTTTCCTCCATGTTGGTTGTATGGTGCTTCTCTTCTTTGGTCGACACACAGGTCTTGGTCAGAAATTACTGAGCTACAGAATAACTTTAGCCAGTAGTGGGTGTCTTCAGTCAATGCTGAATGTTGGGCAGCATAAACCAAAGTGGATATCCCACATTGTGCTAGCAACTTTAGGTGGAGGGCAGCACAGGAGAGGAGACCAGCACAGGAGAGGAGACCAGCACAGGAGAGGAGACCAGCACAGGAGAGGAGACCAGCACAGGAGAGGAGACCAGCACAGGAGAGGAGACCAGCACAGGAGAGGAGACCAACACAGGAGAGGAGACCAGCACAGGAGAGGAGACCAGCACAGGAGAGGAGACCAGCACAGGAGAGGAGACCAGCACAGGAGAGGAGACCAGCACAGGAGAGGAGACTAGCACAGGAAAGGAGACCAGCACAGGAGAGGAGACCAGCACAGGAGAGGAGACCAGCACAGGAGAGGAGACCAGCACAGGAGAGGAGACCAACACAGGAGAGGAGACCAGCCTTAAAAACTCCATGTGATGGCAAGACCCAGGCCCTTAGCTGTGACTGACAGCTGGCACACAGACAGAGCACTGCTCTTATGATCCACCATTTCTGCAATGTGTTTTCTTCCAAACATACTGGTGTTACTTTTTCTATAAAGTAAACAAGGGAGAATATAGGCAACATACAGTCTCTATAATACTGCCTAGGTTTTGTGTTAGGGAGAGGATGAACTTCATCCCTGGCCTTCAGTGGTCTCAGAAAATTGCCATGCGCTGTGATTTCCATGCCTCCCCCAGCTCAGAATAGCTCTATTGTATGGAAAGACAAAATTACCCCCGCCCCTCTCCCCTCCTTTCCACACAGGCTTGCCCCCATTCCCATAGACAAGTCAGCATTTCATGAGTTATGTTTTCAGTATCATAAGGTAGCGCAGTGACCTCTGTCACAGGCGTGATAGAAAGTTAAGTCTAAAGTGATGTGTATAAGGAGATACTCTGTATGTCACTTGGGCACCAGTCCTTCACTGTTCTGGTTTTAGGAAACCTCAAGAAGACTCCTGACGCACGTCCTCATCATGCGCCATGGATAATGTCTCAAATGAGCATTAACAGTCAGGAGATCTCGGAGCTGGCGGCCCCCAGAGGTGTAGTGTCCTTGTGGCTCTCATCAGCCCGCCCCAAAATGCATGGATGAAAAAGTTTTATCAAAACTCATTAGGAACATGAGTAAAGTCTGCTTGCCAAATGTACAACTAAAATGACAACTCTTGGTTAAAAGTGTGCGGAGTGAAGAGAACATTGTGCCGCTGAGAATCACCCTTGACCAAGAGATTTACCTGCAGCTCAGATGAGTAACATTTCCTGTAACCCTCAGCATCATCGCCACCACGCTGAGGTACATAACGACAGCAACCGTCCATAGGCTGGCTAAGCCCAAATGTCTGACAAAAATAGATCCTATGGCACATAAGCGAGCTCAAAATCTGACCATTATAATTCGTATTGATTGGGAAAAAGTCCAAATGTCCACATCCAGAGACCCCACTCGCCCGAGTGTTGGGACCAAATAGATAAAGACATGCCTGATGCAGGATTCCCCATTCTGTCGTGCTAACGGCACGTTAAAGATATCAAACGTGCGACAAAAAAGAATGTACCTATTTGTGGTCACAAAAGTCCAGAACCTGCAGACTGCTCCCTGCTGATCTCTCGAGGGCGCAGCTCGTGTCGAGCGGGAAGCCTAATATGGTTGTGAGGTTAAGCAGGCATGTGCAGGACATGAAGATTCCTTGGGTGAGCCCAGAACCAGAGCGTTATGTTGGCTCTGCATTTATGGAAACCTCCTTAGATAGCGGGGAATGCCCATGATCTGCCCCTGCCTTCCCCTGAGGGCTAACCGTTCCACACAGCGCTGCCCCAAAGGGGTTTCACAGCTTTTTCAGTTTTTTCTAGAACATGTAGTTCATTCTTATATTTGTAACAGTTTTTCAGTTACTCAGGTTAATATTTAGCCAACAATGCAACTGTGCTCATGAATCAGTGATATCATGGCGACTTACGTGTTCCCTTCAGGATAAAAGAATCCCTTCACAGCAATCAGATCATTTTTTTCTAGACCTGATGGAATTTGTTTGATGTAATCATTGGGCTGCAAATAAAAACAGGCATATTACTGCTCTTCTCCATCCACCCTGATAGTTATAGCTATGAAAATGAAATTAACAAAATACAGATTTGACGTCATAGTAGTAATAAGCTCGGAAGAAACTCTCAGATTATAATTTTTATACTTGCAACAGAATACTGTGAACTAAAATATGGAGCAAAGACTGGCTGAGTTTTTACCCCACGAGGACATCACAAAACAGATAAAAACCCGTTGACACAAAGATGAGGATCACCCATGGAAAGGTTGCAGAAACCCCATACAGCCGTTAGGCCATATATATGTCCCAGCTATATTCAGGGCTCCCAGGAAAAGCCACGGTGAGGCTTCAAAAAATTAAAAATTGCATCCCACATGGGGATGAGTGATGAGCAGAGACTGACTGACCGACTTTCTACCCCACCAGGACATCACACAAGCGATAAACACCCGATGACACAAAGTGCCACCATGTGGATGAGGATCACTGTGGAGAGATCCCAGAAACCGCGTTCAGCCTTTAGGTCATATTTATGACCAGGCTATATTGCGGCCCCTGGCAAAAGCCAGAGTAGGGCTTCAAATATCAAAAAATGTCATTCTAAAAAAGGACGAGAAGTATAGACGATGAATACACCATGAGCAAAGAGGAATAACTCTAGAACATATCTTTAAGATTATCTTAAGATTTTGCCAGTCACAAAGATAAAATATGGCACACGGGAGAGAGCCTTTCAGACAAATGTTGGGTCACTGGTGAAGACTCAAGCGTTCAAACCTGTTTTAGACCCATTTCTCAGTAGCAAATATTGAAAAAGAATAATAACTGTTTCAAACCTCTTTTCACTTTTTATATGCATTTTCATGGTCATATTATTTTTACCAAATATTTTATACTTGAGCATTTGTCAAGAAGGCTGTTGTTCATTTAACTGAAAATAGGATTTTTAGTTGATTCATCAAATTACTGAACGTAAAATTGCCTAGCAAAACCTATACACAGACACAAAAATGCTGAAGTTGGTTCTGCAATGCCCTGCAAAGGATATGCAACTATCCCCCCCCCCCCCCCCCCCCCCCCCCCATAGAGTTGCTGTAACATTACCAGTGCATATTGCATATTGCAACTTTGATGTATGTTGTAGAGTTTTAAATTAGAACCAACACATTTGCACTTATCTTTTTTTTTTTTTTACCCTTTGGCATCATTTCCTGAACTGAGCATAGGCCCTCAATTATCTCATGGCAAACCTTATCAGAGATTATTTGTAGTTGTTGGCTTGTTGTGGGATCCGAAGGTCGTGAGTTCAGGTCCGAACGGAACTTGCCCTTTTCAAAAATGACTTTAGCTAACCAGGTCAACCCCAGCCTTAAATGGGGTACTAGGTAAAGTTCTGGAGGTAAAGATGGCCCAGCCAGCATGATGTTGACCACATTGCCATGAATACTGATTGGTCTGCTTAAAATATAAGTCTAACCCTACATGCCCAATACACCTGAAGGTGTAGAATGGAGTCCTTTACTTTACTGCTAACATATATGGTTCAGTTTGTAACCATTTAACAGGATTGTCTTGCCCGTCCTATACTCAACTCTGCCACTAATTGTCTCATACAACTGTCTGATAAGGTCTAGGGTGGTTTCTTTTCTTTGTCTCCTTGGTAATACACTGAACCAAAACCTTTTCTGATCAATTTTATGGTGCACAAAAATGTCAGCAACAAAAAATGCAATTATAAAGTAAACAGTCTTACCAAGGGGTCAATGAAGACAACAATCCATGAGAGTGACATCCCCATAGATGTTCAAAAAATAGATTTGTTCTGGTGGGAATGCGGAACGTGTATTGAAGTGAACAACCTTTCATTCACGTAGATCTGATAATAGTTTTCATTTTAAACAAATTTGGTTAGAATACACAATGAATAAAAGTGCATTAATTTCGAACTGATCAGGTAAGAAGACAAAAGTATGTTAAAAACTTTTATCCCAGTACTTTGGGTATTCTCAAAAGTCACCCCCCCCACCACCCCCATCTTCAGTAGCCAGTTCAGTTAAAAACAAGAGCAGTCACAAATGTAACATGCAAGATCCTAAGGTCTCTATGGTCAAATCATGCACTTCGTGCTCTGAGTCTGATTTTGTTCTCCATCCTTTTTTGCCTATCTCCAGGGGGGAAAGGGGGGGGGGGTGGCGAGCAAGGTGACTAATGGGGAGACCACTGTGACTAACGGGGAGAGCGCTGTGACTAATGGGGAAGAGCACTGTAAATAACGGGGAAGATTCACTGTAGCTAAAAAAAATGGTAAAAAACCACAAAAGCCAGTCTTTTTTATCTAAAACAGCCAGCGTAAGAAAAATGAATCCTTGATAAATCAACGGATTGTGTAAAGTGTTCACTTACTTCTAAGCTTAAAAGCCACAAATCAACTAACCGATTATCTTAACTATTGTAATAGTTTTAACAGGTTGATAGGTCAAATGCACACTTAATCAAAGCAGGTCATCATTTGCATGAAAGGACATCAAAGTACTCTCCCCTGGGAAACGGAAACCATCCTTGCCCTCTTCTCCTCATGTCCCCATGGACCCTTCCTTGTGTTCAGAGACTACGTCCTGCTGAGTCCTGTTTTCCTCGGTTTAAAATGCAAAACTCCCACAACGTTTCCATCGATGTCAGAGTTAAAGTTGATTGCAAATCTGTTATTTCAAAACTTGTTATAAATTACTACAGACAGCTTAGCACATTCCATACATGTGCAACGAAAAGTGGAACTAATATAAATTTTTTTTCATACAAATTAAATTATTATTTAATTCAATTATTATTTTCAGGTACCATGAATATACCATTCAATTTCAAAATTATAACACATAGAAATGTATTATAACAATACATGAAATAAACATAACAACAGATAAGGAATAACAATGTGTTTGCCCCTAATAGCTTTGTCCTGTCAGATCAGAAGTTTAAATTGTATTTTATTTTTCTGCTTATGCAATACCCCTTTGATGCCACCTGATGCAGCCGCAGCTCTGTGTCAGTGCCCTGCCATGCTCCTCAGAAGCATACTACCAATGATCCACACAGCTCTTCCTCTTGCTATTTCCACATGATCCCAGACTATATGCAAAACATACCCATTTGTAATCCATTCCCCCCAGAATGATTTCAACTTATGGATGCTTTTACTTTTCTGAATATTGAAATCTAATTTCTGCAAAGAGTACATATTTAGGGAAAATAATCAGATATTCATTTTACAGCAATTACCAGAGCAAAATTAGGAAAATAGAAAAGATGTACAGAATGTTTTTGTGGATTTTAAAAAGGCAGATGATAGTGCACATAGAAACAGTTTATGGAATGCCAGGAAGGACTTTGGAATACCAAAGATGTTTATCAGCATGACAAAACTATCTATGGAAAACACACTTGTAATATAATAATATATAAAGGCAGAAAAATCAGACCCTTTTAAAAAAACATCTGGTTTAAAGCAAGAAGATGTTCTGTCCCCACTTCTTTTCAATTCAGTCCTGGAAAAGATGGAAATTGAAAGAAGATTGTACAACAGGAGAAATGAAAAGAATGTAGATGACATTGACATCGTTCAAGAAAATGAACTAGACTGTTAAAACACAGACTCTTAAAGGAAGCAGCTCACAAAATAGGGCTCGTTATCAGCCAAGATAAGACAGAATACATGGTAATAACTAGACAGGGAAAGGATATAAACTTGGCCACATACAGGTCAATAATATAAAAATAAAATGAATGGAAACAAAAGTACTTGGGTGCAAATTTCAACTACTCAAGCATGCTGAGAGAAGTAATAAAATCTAGAATACAATCTGGAAATAAAGTATACTATGTCCTTCAACATCTGCTAAAGTCATCTGTCTCGCAACACCAAGATAAAAATATATAAAATGCTGATAAGACCAGTCGTGTTAAATGGCTCTGAAACTTGGAGCACAACTAAAAGAGATAAAGCCTTATTCAAATTTTTGAAACCAGAATCTTATCTCAAATCACTAGACCCATCAAAGATGCAAACAGCAGGGAATATTGAGTGAGAAGCAACAATAAAATTCCTAATCTGTTTAAATCACCACTAATCACTGGCACCAATGAGAAAGCTAATAGACTGAAATGGCTGGGGCAAATTGAGAGAATGTCAGATGACAGAGAGTAAACACTGTATACAAAAGAGAGAATGGTTGCAGACAAGGAGGCAGACCAAGAAGATGATGGAGAGATAATATCCAGACAGACCTCTGAAAATTTGGTGTCACCAACTGAAAAACAAAAATTAAAGAACCCTGACCAAGGAGATGAATAGAGATGGGTGATATTTGCAACAATGAACCTCAAGGGCTTAGAAACCTGAAGATGAAAAAGAAATCCTTAGTTGCCTTTTACAAAATGTTTGCAGAGAAGCAGCAGTCTACCCCCCCCCCCTCCTTCCCTCCCTAAATGGAGCCCTAGAACCCATACAGAGAGTGTTAAAATAATGAGGACAATAATCATCTTTTGACAGATATTATCCTAGAGGTAAACATTCTGAACACAATGACAAGAATTACCGTGATGGAAGCATCTCATATGCACACATCCCAGCACTTCTCAAAGCTACTGCCCATCCCTGTACACCGAACCAGTGAAACTCGCCATTATAAGGTATCCGTATCAAAAGTGAATGTATTGTCAGACCAAACATGAATGGATTCCAAGTCAAAAGTTATAGTATAGATTGTTAGCTATAAACTGCAATGGCATTTCAAGTGTATTAAAAAATTAAATTTGGTTTGATACTTTCATTAAAAAATATGTTTCTTCCAGTTTGTAATGCCAGTACATGTTTGGTGGTGTGTGTGGCATAAGTCCGGTGGCGTGTATGCATATATGCTAATGTTTGTAATGCTGTATGCACAACGGTGTGTGTGTGTGTGAGTGGGTGTACGTACATAACATTGTTTAGGCTAACCCATTAAAGAGACATTAGACAGATGGAATATCTGTTTGATGTGAGGTTGAAGTCCAGAATTGACATGACATCAACAGCAACCGGGGCAATTCTCTTGTGAAATTCTAGTCCTCATTTCAGTCAACGCTAGCGAGGAGTTTCAATACTCGATGGTACCATTCCACAATCTGGTTTATGTCTGTCTTCGGTTGCCTTTCCTCTGAAGTGTAGTTTTAGCTGGCCAGACCCTCATGATTACAACCCAAAGTATGTCATTCACTTCTCTTTTTGTCAAAAATCTGCTTGTGACCGTGCTAGGGCGTCGGCAAGTCGATCAGATGATCGGCAACCGCGCCGACGAGGCGCGCAATCCACAGAAAAGTCCGCTTCAATATGCCGTGATGTTATGAAGTTCTCAAGGTTTTCCGTGAATCCTTCAATCAATCTTCTTCTGGTCTTTTCACCTGCCTCTGGTTGTTTCGATTTTCATGTTGTATGCCTCTGATGCTGGCATCGTTGGTTCCATTCTCATTAGTATGACCAAAAACCAATCATTCTTTGCTCTCAATAAATAATTTAACGAGGGGATATGGTTCCATAGCAATAAATTTAACAGATGGGTATGGTTCCAATAGTTCTTGAATCGACACGTCGTTCCTCCACTCCCGACTTCTTCGGGTTTTATTCGCGAGCCATTTCCTCAAACAATCTCATTTCACAGTACCTACAATGATAACCTAGATGGTCAGGCTTGGGCTTGAGGAAAGATACAAAGTATGCTCACTAACTGTGAACTTTCCAGTAAAGTTTGCCTCTCTGCCTGAAACATCCCTGTCTTTACCTTTCTTAGCATGCTTTCAGAGTCTGTTACAATTATAACATGTGTATGCATCTTGTTCTCTAGCTACTGGAGAGCTGCAGTTACTGCCTCCCCCTTAACTCTCCTGCTAGACGTTGTGATGTTGTATGTTAGGCTGTCTTACACTAAAGATTTCCTATTGGCTTTTGCTACGAACCCCTAAGCACTTCTCTTTCCTCCCAACACTGAACCATCTGTATAGATAATCAGATAACCTAGGCATGAATTGTCGTGAATCAACTGTTGGACTTCCACCTACTTAGCACCTGTTGGCCATTCTCTGCACACCTGGCCAAATGTGATCATAATCCTATACAGGTCAGACTTTTCCTCTGGTCCTCTGACCCACTCCTCTCCTTCCGAAATCTTCTCCAGCATGCACACTTGTCTTATTGTGTCTTCTGCTTGAGCCATCCACGGTTTTGCCCTTTTCAGCCTCTGACCCTTACCTGCAACCAAAGCTTCATACAGATGGTGTTCCCTGTCTGCAGCTACTCTGAGGTATGACTTAGCCTGCAGCACCTTTGGTCTATCTGCAAAAGTCGGCAATGCAAGGATGTATCGCACCCACACAATCGGGGTGTTTCTTGTAAATCCAAAAATCACCCCCACTGCTTCCTTCTCTATACGCTCTAGTTTCTCTAGCTGACTCTTCGAGACAGTGAGTAACCCCAATATCTATTGTTACAATATCAGCGTCTATAAAGCACACATGAAGGCCTACACTAGATGCTTCTTCAAAACCTGATGCCGAAAGGCAGAACAGGGTCTACAGAAAAGAAAAAGAATGTGATTTCAGGAAAGTAATAAAATTAACATCATCAAATACTTGATAGAACTTGCTTGTTACCTACAATATTTTACTCAAGTTAATTTGCACATAGTTAGTAAAATAAGGTCTTGAATTGGTCCTAAATGGAATGAGGAAGCAAAGACATCATAGATAAACACTACAATGAATTTAAATGAGAGGATTTTAGCAAAAAAATAATATAATTTATATTTTTTTACAATTAAATAGCTTATGTTTACTTATAAATTACATTAGGGTTTACTTATGCACTATATACTGCTTATTTACACACTATTTGAGTTTTAACACATTATTTAATTTATGTTGTTTAAAAATGTATTAAATTTATATCTTTACTTACACAAGGATTCTGAATAGTTGATTCATAATACTCAGCCCCTTCACTCAGTTTTAAGTATCGAACATTTTGAAATGGCAGGCGGTGCCTGTATTCAATGAAGTACTGGCAATTCACAAGAACTACGTATGACTCTGGACCAACGTAGATTCTCACTGTGAACTTAGAACCCTTGGCAAATGGAAAGTAGGGAATGTTGCGTTCCTCCTGCTGCCAACATCCTGAAAATGAATTGCGCACAACAGTCTGGGCTTCCGTGCGTGGATTGAAGTGGAAGGCAACATCACATCCTTCCACCTGATCATTTTGCAGGTTGATGTGGAACCTATGGATAATGACCACAATTATTTCAGCATTATTCCTGTTAGTTTTGGTCATTGAAGTAAACAATGAAAAATGCATGTTAAATCTGGTCATTTACTTCCTTCCTTATTCAACTAGTGTTGTTATTTTAACTGTTTATTATAACGATGATATATGCATCTCAATGTTGACTGTTGAATTTAGAATCTATATTACAGCACTTGGGACACTCCCAAAGGTGCTCCATCCCCATCTTCAGAAACAACTGAAGAGTTCCTATTCCGATGATACCAGTAATTGTCTTATTGTACATCCGCTTTGCCTTTCCCTTGAGTGTTGAGCATCAACCAGGTCACCTGGTAATATAAGATGATATATGGTGATATATGCATCTGTTCTGGTTTAACTTGAGTCAATATATTGTCTGTCTTTTCACAGTAAGACATTATTTTTATTCAGACTATTCTTCTTCTTCTTGAGCATTCCAAGCTTTTGTGGGTTTTTCCCCCTGCAGATATCACCAGCTCCATTGATCTCTGTAATTTGCCTTCTCATCCAAGATGGTGACGCCAAGTATTTATAGATCTACCTGTATATTATCATCCAACCATCTTCTTTGTCTACCTCATGATCTGCTCCAGCCAAACTTTTGTGTGTGCAGTTTTTCATCTATCTGTTACTTGTATATTTAGACTGTAAATTACAATTATTTAGTATACATATACGCATATATATATATATATATATATATATATATATATATATATATATATATATATATATAATATATATATATATATATATATATATATATATTTATATATATATATATATATATATATATACATATATATATATATCTATATCACTATTACGCCCTTTTTAGGACATATTTTTTTTGTTATTTGAAGCCCCACTCTGGCTTTTGCCAGGGGCCGCAATATAGGCAAGCCATAAATATGGCCAATTGTCTGAACGCGGTTTCTGGGATCTCTCCCACATGGTGGCACTTTGTGTCATCGGGTGTTTATCGCTTGTGTGATGTCCTGGTGGGGTAGAAAGTCAGTCAGTCAGTCAATTATTTAGTTACTACTAGGGAGCCAGTTTCTCAGAAGACAGCACATTTGCTTCTTAACCCTATAAATTCATTTTAAATCCTCAATGAGATATGGAATTTTTAAACCATCTGAAACTGATTAATATGAAAAGTCCTGGGAAGTAAAAGAGACAGCTTGATATTGGTAACATGACAATAATTTAAATAAAGATCACGTGACAGAAGACCTTCAACTGACAATGCTTCTATAAAAAAAATGTGTGAGCAAGTTTTATAAAACTGAAGTAAGTTTTACCTCTCCTGATCAAATGCAACTCTTCCTCTAACAATGATCTGTGCTCCAACATTCAGACCTCCAGGAATATAAGTGTAGTCAGGAGCCTCCTAAAAAAGGAAACAAAAATATATTATTTAGTAAAAAAGACAAATAATTTTTGAGGTGTAAACTTTCAGAGATCTGAGTTAATCTCAATAACGATTCAATGTCACAAAATTTTGGACAAGCCCAAATTAACACCATCTCCATCCTCAACTGAATGATACTGAATGGTAGGGTCTCCATACTGAGAGTACCTGTGTTGTATGGTTAACTATTCATCTTGCCTTTCCTCCAAATTTCAGATCTTCCGTCAGGATTCAAGTGTGTTACTGTCAACACAGACAAAACATCCAACATTTTGTTTTCTTTGTCCTCCAGAGATAAAGCTGTTACAAAGAAACAACTTAACTAAAGGAAGGACAACTTCCTTAGAATCACATTTGATAAAAGGCTTACATGGAACAGTTATGCAGAAAATGTAGAAGGGAAGGTCAGGGACTAGGACTACTTAGAAAACTGACAGGCAGAAGATGGAGAGCAAGAATAACTCTAAAGAAATTTTATAATGGCTCAACAGCTGGGTCATCAGCTGCTAATTCCTATCTGCAATTGTTAGACAGAACACAAACTCAAGACCCCAGACACATCATCTGATCCATGAAAACTACACCAATCCCAGGGCCCCCAGACGCATCACCTGATCCATGAAAACTACACCAATCCCAGGGCCCCCAGCGGTTAAAATGGAAGCTAGACAGCGGCGCCGTTCGGAACAGAGGCTTCTGCCGGATGGTGGCCGATGCATTTTTGCTCCATTTGTAGACTGGATATAGTTTCGTCGCCCAGCTTCTGAGTTGACTGCATGGCGTGACCCTGTGAGCTGCGGATCGCATTTGGAATGTTTTTTTTCGACTGTGACCAACGTGGTGGTGTGCAATTGTTGATTCAGAAAATAGCGCAATGCCTGTCGTTCAATGCTTGCGGGACCCGTATTAAAATTGATCACGCGGACAACTGCTGATCTGTTGACGACAAGTTCTGCTATCATCAATGATGAACTGCATTTCTAATGTTGGACTGTTTGTGTTAGCACTTCGGATGGCTACCATATGCTTTAATGCGAGTGTATGCTAGATATGCTGAGACAGCAGTCTGTCAATCTTTCCACAAGGGACTGTGATAGACATTCTGAGTGTTTTTCGCTGGCACAGGAGCGGAGCAAAGATGGGGCAACCCGTTTGCTATGAAGCTGAAACTAAGACTACCAGACTACCAGACTACCAGAGGCATCACCTGATCCATGAAAACTACACCAATCCCAGCGCCTCCAGACACATCACCTGATCCATGAAAACTACACCAATCCCAGCGCCTCCAGACACATCACCTGATCCATGAAAACTACACCAATCGCAGAGAGACTGTTTAATTGAATTCTTTTTCTTCTCATGACCACATCCTCAGTTTACACCAACAGACGAGTTCTTGTGACAAAATTGTAATTTCTGATAAAACAGAAATTTCTGGTGGTCTAACTACAAGCTTGTTAGAGATGAGTTGCTGGACATCACAATAAATGGCAGTAACATAAAGAGGGATCATTCACAAAAATATATAAGAATTACTTCCGAATGAAGTCTCTCGTTCAAATATCATGCGGAAGAAGTAGTTTTAAGAGTAGGGATGGGACTCAATGCTTTGGAAGTAATGACATCAATGGACATGGAACAGAAAATGCTATTTACACTCTATTAGCAACTGGTTATTTCGGTGATGGAGTGTGGTTTAGGTCTGCTAACATTATCTCATACCTCTAATGAGCAGCTGGAACACTTACAAGATGAAGCAATAAGTGTTATTCTGGGATGTGCACGAGACACACAGTTTGTGTGCACGTGGCACATACTTGCACTGCCATCTGTATATGAAAGAGAGAAGTTTTTACAGGTGGATATGTACCTTAAAGTCACAACAGACAGGGATCACCTTCTGCATAGAGCCTTTGGGAAAAGATGGCACAGGCAGAAGTCATGATCAGAACTGTATGTGCTTCTGACAAGATAACGCACAGTGAAGAATGGGAACAACGCCCAGCAAAACAGACGTGCACAGAGTGATAGTGACCTTGGACCGAGGCTGCCAGAAACAGAGTAAGCGCTGCAAGAACTGGTCAATAAACAATTTACGCCCAGTGACATCATAATATTTACAGATGGGTCTGTAGTGAGAGGTAATAATAGTGGGCGGGGTTATATTGTAAAGATGAATGGACACGGTTTGAAAACAGTTAGCCTCGTGTAAAACGTTGCTACAACAAGCATAAGAATGGAGGTGGAGGTGGTAACGGCAGCTTTCTGGTGGCTTGAGAGCAGCTCAATTCGATATGTTGTAATTGTAACAGACTCACAGAGTATGTTTAGGAAAATTGAAACTGTTGTCCTGCGATCAGAATGGCTTGTATCACTTGAAAAGACCCAGATCAAGGCAGATCATGGATTTTCTGTCCAGGAGCTTCAGGTGTACTAGGTAACAAGCAGGCTGATAGATTAGCTGCTGCTTCTCCTCTGGGTTGTGAGCTACTATATGATAAAGCAGATGTGGTGAAAGCTCTATGGGATCAAATGAACAGTGGAAAAGAACAGATAGGGAATCTATATACTTCTTCTTCTTCTTCGTTCTCCGGCTGTGAATTCCGTCGGAATGTCCCGGTTAATCATCCGTTTGAACTTTTGGCTTTTACCTGGACCTGATTTTTGCGTGTACAACAGTTTTACTGGCTTTTGCCGTTCCCTGCCTCACGGGCAGGTGTACTCCGATTTTGAAGGAAGACGTCAGGCATATTTCAAGGATGACTGTGGCAATTGTTTTGTGTGGGTCGAGATGTTACCTTATTTGTGTGGTGTCCTCTTCGTCCCTTTCTCCACAGGTGTTGCCCCCGGAGTACCCCCTTTGGGGCAGCCTTATGTGGAAGGGTTAGCCCTCAAGGGAAGGCAGGGGCAGATCATAGGCATTCCCCGCCATCCAAGGAGGCTTCCATAAATGCAGAGCCGACAAATAATGCTCTGGTTCTGGGCTCATTCAAGGAATCGACACGTCCTGCACATAACTGCTTAACCTCAGAACCATATTAGGCTTCCCACTCGACACGGGCTGCGCCCTCCGGAGATCAGCAGAGAGCAGCCCGTGGGTTCTGGACTTTTGTGACCACAAGAATAGGTACAATCTTTTTCATAGCACGATTGTCATCTTTAGCGTACTGTTAGCACGACAGAATGGAGAATCCTGCGTCAGGCATGTCTTTATTTGTTTGGTCCCAACACTCGGGCGAGTGGGGTCTCGGGATATGGACATTTGGACTTTTCCCCAATCAATACGATTTATGATGGTCGGATTTTGAGCTTGCCCATGTGCCGTAGGATCTATTTTTGTTGGACATTTGGACATTCGGACCAGCCGAAGGATGGTTGCTGTCTTGGTGTATCTTAGCTCAGTGGCGACGACACTGAGGGTTGACAGAGGATGTACATGGGTAGAATCTTGCTGCGAGATGCCACCCACAGGAGATGTTACTCGTCTGTGCTGCGGGTAAATCTCTAGGTCAAGCAACACAATGTTCTCTTCACCCCACAAACTTTTAACCGAGGGTTGTCATTTTAGTTGTACGTTTGGCAAGCCCTTTACTTATGTTCCTAATGAGTTTTGATAAGCTTTTTCACCCATGAGTTTGGGGGGCGGGCTGATGAGAGCCACAAGGACACATCATCTCTGGGGGGCCGCCAAATTCCGAGATGCCCTGACAGCTCTGTTTAATCTCATTTGAGACATTTTCCATGGCGCACGACGAGGACGTGCTGCAGGAGTCTTGCGTGAGGTTCCGTAACACCAGAACAGTGCAGGGTAACTCCTTATACACATCACGTTGGATTTAACTTTACCTCTTGCCTGTGACAGAAATCACCGTGCCACAATCCATATACTGAAAGACTACTTCAACGGGGGCGAGTAGAGGTTTTGGAAGCTATTCAACACTGAAGGGGAAACAGAGGTGGACTTTTAGTCAGGTTGCAGCTAGTAGTATTAGCCTGTCAACTCTTCATTGGTTAATAAAGAAGGTGACGGAGCACACGTGGAAATGTCCCCAGTGCAGTGATGTCAATCCATGATTCATTTATTCATTCACTGAGACAATTGATCATATGACTTTCTTCTTGTTGTCTTTTCACTGTAAGCAGTTTTCAGATAAAAAGGCCACAGGCCTCTATGAAATCTGTGGTACAAGGGATGTCTTCTACTGTTGCTTGGTTTCCCTTGCAATGCCAACCAGCCAAACCCTGGATCTCTCTACTGCATGTACAGAGCATGTCTGTGGCACAGGCTCAGTATTCTGTGGTGCCTGTTCACATGAGCCACAGATTACAACACTAGGGCACCATGCAGTTCTTCCTTGTAATGCCAGGACTGTATTGATTTCAAGACATCATAGCACACTGGGCATACCCACAGATACCCCAACTCTCTCGCATCATAGCACACTGGGCATACCCACAGATACCCCAACTCTCTCGCATCATAGCACACTGGGCATACCCACAGATACCCAAACTCTCCAGCATCATAGCACACTGGGCATACCCACAGATACCCCAACTCTCTCGCATCATAGCACACTGGGCATACCCACAGATACCCCAACTCTCTCGCATCATAGCACACTGGGCATACCCACAGATAATTAAACTCTCCCGCATCATAGCACACTGGGCATACCCACAGATAACTAAACTCTCCCGCATCATAGCACACTGGGCATACCCACAGATCCCCAAACTCTCCTAGAATAATTAAGGTGTCAATTTTACTTCTTCTTCTTCCTCTTATTCCATCCTTCTGTCAGAAAACTTACATCAGGAGGCCGGTAGCCTTTATGAAAGCTACCGTGCAGTCCATATCTTCTCGTGTACCACACAGCGGTCTTCATTGTGGTTGGAGCAGATTTTACATTCTATAAGCACATAGTTTTGTAAACAACTCATTCTGTTCCTCTAGTACGCCCACTCGATCACATATTCAAACAACCTTGGATTTTCTGTTTCATTTAACGTTGTTATCTTCAGCTGGCATTCATGCACAGGTAGTAACAACTCCTAGCACAGAAGGGGCCTATCACTTCTTAAATTTTCTGGGGGCGGGTCCACCCCGGTCATGACCCCGAGGGTTTTTCTCTCCTACTATGCGCTGAATCACTTGCCAACATAAAACGCGGGTGTGCCGTTAAAGTCACTTCTCCCTTAATCATAGTCACTGCAGGTCATCTAGCAACACTTGTTTCAGCTCGATCGTTAACACCTGACCTGGGTCAACGTGCCATAGATTCCTCTCCCCCCCCCCCCCCCATGACACTGGCTGGCGTGAATCTGATCTCAGTTTCACGCCATCACAACAGTTCACACCATTGACTTGAATTGTCATAGTACTGTGGGGCTTGGTCTGGTTGAGATTTAATAAAGGCAATCGTAATCTGCCAAGACAGACAGAACAAACGAGCGAATGAACGCATGAACAGACAGACATACAGATAGCAAAGATAGATGGATGGATAGACAGACAGACGGGCGGGTGGGCGGGCGGACGGACGGACGGACGGACGGTCAGACAGACAGACAGACAGACAGACAGACAGACAGACAGACAGACAGACAGACAGACAGACAGACAGACAGACAGACAGACAGACAGACAGACAGACAGACAGACAGACAGACAGACAGACAGACAGACAGACAGACAGACAGACAGACAGACAGACAGACAGACAGGACAGACAGACAGACAGACAGACAGACAGACAGACAGACAGACAGACAGACAGACAGACAGACAGACAGACAGACAGACAGACAGACAGACAGACAGACAGATAGACAGACAGACAGACAGATAGATAGATAGATAGATAGATAGATAGATAGATAGATAGATAGATAGATAGATAGATAGATAGATAGATAGATAGATAGATAGATAGATAGATAGATAGATAGATAGATAGATAGATAGATAGATAGATAGACAGACAGACAGACACTGTACGACGTTTGATTTCACCAAAGTATTTAATGTCCATGCGATATTTACATTCAGACAGCTGAAAGAGCAGGAGAATATGATACAACCTACATAATCGCATTTACAGACCAGAAAAAAGCATTTGATGAAGTAATCATGGATATGCTGTGGTGTTGTCTAAAAAGATATGAGATTAGCAAACATCGTATTAAAGTTTGTAAGCGTGTGTATACATTAAGGCAAAATCAGGTGCATCCAAATCGTTTGAAGTAAATTCAGGAGTATGACTTTGCCGTACGTAAATTGTCAGTATATATGCAAAGAAGCTGAGAGCCAAGAAGGTGATGGTAATTTATAAATCTAAATCTAGTCAACATCAAGTGTCAAAAATATAATAGCAGACCGGATACTATTACAACCAATTGCACTTACACACAAGTGTATCTTTGTCTCCCAAGGCAAATCTAAAATAAAAACGATTTTCCGGCCAATTTTAGGCAGTGTCAATCTTAGACCCTTACTAAAACTAATGAACGCAAAATCACAGCAGAGATGTGACGCCTTAGAAAAGGTTCAGGGGCAGCATAGAAGAGCTAAAATTACAAATGAAAAAAATAAGTTAGAAGAGTACTAGGAGTGAAACCAGTTAACAGATTTGTAAACAACAACATATAGGATGGTTTGGCCATCTGACGAGAATGCCCGGGCACCAGCTACAACAGAGAGCAGCGCTGACGAACTACAATTGACACAGAGAAAGTGGAAGACGTTGCAGAAAATGGAACTATAGCACCAAGGTCAACCTTAAGAAAATTATAAAACAACTTATAGTCTTAAGGAAATTATGAACAACTTAACAGTCTTTTGGAAATTGAGAACTTACAGTCTTTTGAAAATTAAGAACTTACAGTCTTTTGGAAATTAAGAACTTACAGTCTTTTGGAAATTAAGAACTTACAGTCTTTTGGAAATTAAGAACTTACAGTCTTTTGAAAATTAAGAACTTACAGTCTTTTGGAAATTAAGAACAACGTATAAGTGCGTACTGGAATGAGCACACATAGGATCCTTACAAATCCCCAACACACCTTTTTTTCCCACCAGCAACCACCACTGATGAAGAAAAGAAGATGATTTCACTGCCCCCAAACAATACGCTGTTTACACAAGCAAATTTTCTCGTTATTAGTGTCAGAATGCCAATGTTTGTTTTCCTCTTGATGCTCTGTATTCTAAAAATATTTATGCAGCTCAACAGGCTAAATTTTCGTCCTTAAAGACTGCAAGATAGTCCAAGACTCATATCTGTTTGTTGCTGGTGAAAATATGCATAATCTCAACATTTTGACTTTGATTTATTTCCTAGTCTTTAGATATGGGCTTTTTTAGAAGGAGATTTATATTTGCACTGCTATGGTCATCCTCTTTTTACTTTAGTTTGAAGTCTCCTCTGCAATTTGTTATGAGTCTAGATATTCACAAACTGTGACATGTTCCCTTTTTTCGTCCCTGATTGTTACTTTTGGGTGACATGTTTTGCTTTGTCCTGAACATTAGTTTTCTTTTTTTTTCTCCCTTAAATAAACAGTAATTAACTTCATATGAATGGACAATCAAACCTACACACCGGATACTGTGTTAAAAAGAGGCAATCGTTCTTGCTTGGTGTTTAAGTGACTAAGTAGTTTGCCTCGCATTCTGAACGTCATGGGTTCGTTCCAAGGACTGCGTCGTTCTCTTCGCGAGTGCAGTTTTATTTTACGAAGATCCCTGGAGATCATCGATGGGGCTAGAGAGTTCGTGCTTTTAAGTAATGCTCTCGGCAAGCTGCTAGTCGCTTGGCAGGCAGACAGACAGACAGACAGACAGACACAGACAGACAGACAGTCTCCATACAAGAAAGCCATCAATCTACAGCGAATGTGCACGCAAAACTGCTGGACCAAGGCAAAAGTAAAAAAGTGGACGACCAACCAGAACTTTTCTCTGGAGTGTACAGCCGGTGAATGCCAAGAAAAAGAAGAATATGACAACAACAAGTATTCTGTTGAAACTACAATACAGACAACACGTAACTTACTATAGCTGTTTTCCTGTACGCCATGTTGATTGACTTTTAAATCTGTGAACAAACAAGGAACACAAGTGTAAGTGTGGCAATATCGTGGGCTGTCCTTTCTGTGTTCAGTGACGGGCGCACGAGACTTTTATACACACAGACCGGAGCTGGTAGGTGAAAAAAAAAATACTGTAGGTTACCGTACTTAGGCCGATGATGCGTGCGCACATATTTTACCAACCATGCTTTTGTTTTTGACTTGATATTCATAATATGCATATTAATACATGAACATAACATGCTTCATTGATGAAATACAACTGTTGTGTGCAAGATGTGAGTTTGAAAGGGCCGAATGTAAGACATGCCTGAGTGCATAATTTGTGACCCTTTGAAAATAAAGTTCGTTCGTTTGTTCGTTCTCCATGAAACAGTCTGCTGAAAACAAAGATGTTATGTCGTTCTATAAAGCTACTATTTCAGACTGTTTCGTTATCCAGAGAACGTCACATTTGCACAGCATAAGCTATCTATATACGGGCATTCATAGGCACTCAAGAGCATTCCATGACAATTTCCCACTGTTACCTCCAGTCTTCTCCTTCTCAAATTATGAACTGTAATCCTGGGGCCCAAATGTGTCATACTTTACAATTAAACTTGATTGACAGGGTATTCTAGACAGAACATTCTGAACAGGGTACTCTAGACAGATAGTTCTGGACAGGCTACTCTGGACAGAATGCTCAAGACTGGATACTGTAGACAGAACGTTCAAGACAGGATACTATAGACAGAATCTTTTAGGCAGGCTACTCTAGACACAACGTTCAAGACAGAATACTCTAGACAAGATGATCAAGGCAGGATACTCTAGATAGAACACTCTAGACAGGCTTTTCTAGTCAGAACGTTCAAGACATGATACTCTAGACAGAACGAGAACGTTTTAGGCAGGCTACTGTAGACAGAATGTTCAAGACCGGATACTCTAGACAAGATGATCAAGACAGGATACTCCAGACAGAACGTCCAAGACAGAATACTTAGACAACGTTAAAAAAATACTCTGGACAGAACGTTCAAGACAGGATACTCTGGAGAGAACGTTACAGACAGGATACAATAGAAAGAATGCTCAAGTCAGTCCATACGGGGTGTGGGGTGGGGGGAAAGGGGGGGGGGGGTCTGAAACAATCACCTCGACTGGCCATCAAGAGTGCTAGCAACTGAGCTGCCGAGTGAACTCCGTGTATTCAGCAATAAGAAATGAGTGTTCCGTTCTGTGCCATCTGAGCCTAGGTACAATCCGACAACACAAGTGGCTGTAAATCTGCCAGGCTAATCTTGGACTCGCAAATCGATAATTTTTGTCAAGGGGAAAAATAAAGAGAAGGGGCTGAGTTCCCTACTCCCTAAATTATTTTAGGGAGTAGCCCCCGCCTCCCCTCCTCTCCCATCCACTAAAACCACTCCCCCTCCTTATATAGACGTTCTCTTTTTCGAGCATTTCGCGACAGTGTCATATTAATTTAACCATATTTCTTATAATTTGCCATTCAGCACATAGTTTTATTAATTATTTTTTATTATTATTGCGCAGTTAAACAAAGCTTAGAGCTCTCCCAATAATTTCAGGGGAAGGGGAGCTCAAAATGGTTAAACCTTGTCGATATGCATATTAATAATAAATTTCTAAAATTAATAATAATAATATTGCGCATTTAAACAAGGACTGAGCCCTCTACCGACCCTAGATAATTATTGGGGGAGTGGATTATAGGTCCCAGTGTTTTCTCTGTTTCAGCGCGCCCGTCAGTGTCTGTTCCGTCAGTCTCTTTGTTCGTTAGTCCATCTACCAACCTACATACAGACATGTTGTCCATCATTCTATCTGTATTTTAGTCTATATTTATGTGTGTGCCTGCCTGCTTCCTGGTGTCTCGTTAACTGCCAAGCATTCATCCATCTCTCATTGGACTATTCGCCTTTTTGATTTTTCCCTCAGCTTGTATCTTTATATCTCCGTGTTTACCTGTGCTCTAGTCTTTGTCCGTTGCCTTGTCGCGTGTCTAACCGAATATCTAGGCAGTCGTCTTAAAATTATGAAAACATGGAGAGGTTTAAACCCCTCCCGTGTGGGTTCCGGGGCCTGTTATAGGAAAAACAAGAAAAGACCCAATGCCTACCCAAAAGCGTGTCGTAAGAGCCGACTAACTGGGAGCTTCCGTCGAAGTCGGAGTGCATCTGACTGAGAGGCAAGGAACCAACAGTCTGCATAAAATTGAGTCAGACCTGTCAAAAGGATGCACACACAACACTCAGGTTCTGAAACAGCACTGCAGCCAGAAGTGGACGAACACCAAGAACTTTCCGCAGGAGTTTACAGCCGGTGAACGTAAAGAAGAAAGCAGATTCTTTCAGCCTAGTGCACGAGATGAATACAAAAGAAGTGGCATGTTACATAATATGACATTCGTACAAAAGTAAAGCTTCATACAGCCAATCAAGGCATGTTACTCTGTGTCCAACATCAGAGAGCCTCATAAATAAAACAACACAAATCATTATTTATATTTCCTCTCTCAGCCGTTGTAACCGATACTTCAGTTTATTGCCCTCTCTTATCTCTAAAGCGGATACCGTACTTACTAATACAAACGCACTAAAATTATATAACAATACCTTTACTAATACTACAAAGAATATAGTTCTTTACCCAAGTAAGTTCTTAAATGTAGTCTGACATTTCCTAAATAAATAAACACGTCCATTGTGAGTGGCTGAAAGCTGTAATCACCCCCCCCCCCCCCCCCCAACCCCCTCCCTTTTTCCGCATAAAAAAATATGATCAATTGATTAAATCAAGAGATGTAAGAGTGTAATTACGAAAGCTTTTATTAACAAACCATTTATGATGAACTGAAAATGTAAACAAGCGTAAAAATGCTCAAGTCTGAACTATTTAGAGTTAGAATTCACAAAAAGTGCTTTTGGCACAATGCTTACTCCAGGTCTTCTGTAGGAAGAACTTGGTTTACCAGACATAGTTTTTTTGGAAAGGGACAAGTTCGAATCTTATATTTCATATTTCCTAGCCGACCGCTGCTATAATAAAGATAACAAATTTCTCGCTTTTAAATTAAATGATTGCAATGACTGACTGACTGACTGATTGGTATGTTTTCTTCTTTCCAGACAATGGTGTTATATTGTGCTATAAGGATGCATGGAACTCACAATCCATGGCAAAGGTGAGTGTGACTAGCAAGACCCACCAGCGATAAGAAAAGTCTTACACAATTATAGTATAAGATTTCAGGACCATTGTTTTCAACATTTGTGTTCAGTCTGTTTCTTCTCAGACGCTCAGCTCTCATCCTTTCTACAATAATTTCTTCCTTTCACTCCCTTCCTGATGTGCCCCCTCCACACAATACGGACTATGACATTTTGTTCCCTCGAGGTCACCTCGATACCTGTATCATTCATGTCCCGTTTGCACACATCTTTATATCTAGTAGAGGTCGGCCTGGACATCTTCTACTCGTCTTAAATTCCCGATAGAGGACGTGTTCATGGACTCTGCCATTCTCCAGGCGTGACCCATCCTCGCGAGCCTTCGTAGTGCACAATGACTAGACATTTCCATATAGACGCCAAGATCTTGGATTCGCAAGCCCATTGAGGCGGATCTTTACAAACTGTCATAGGCTCCTATGTGTACCCAGACCAAAATGAGTATAAGATATGTTTTGGGGAGTTAGATAAACGATGTGATATGGCCTAAAGTTAGATAAACGGTGTGGTATTTCCTATATCACCTAGTGAGGGTCGATATTTCTATAATAAGGTGTAAAAATTATCCTTTGGTTACCTTTACTTATAAGTTTAATTTATTATTATAGGTCTCTCTGAAAGTAGCCCAGTCGTAATATTTTATATTAGTTATATACCGACCAGGGATTGCAGATACCATAATGTCATTGGGTTGAAAGAGTTCATATCATAGAACTGGGTCGTTTTTCCAAGGCCATGCCGGCGGGGTGAGTAATGAAAAAGGAAGACAGTCTAGCTGGATCAGCACCACTGGGTGGTGAATTTATACATCACAAGGCACCTGGGTGTAACCAGGGGGTCTAGCCGGCTCACTACACTCAGAGGAAAGGCAAGACCGATATATAACCAGGTTGTAACCGGTACCGTCAGTACTAAAACTCTGCGCTGGCTGTTGAAGATGAGGACGGAGCATGCATGGAAATCCTTTGAGTGCTGTGATGTCAATTCTTGATTCAACTCAACTCATATCATACAACGTAGCCAGACAAAAAAAAAAAAAAAAAAACAGCAGTACCTAAACTGCGAATATCATTGTTTTGTTATGGTAATGGTAATGTTAGTTTCAGCTTCATAGCAAACGGGTCACCCTATAGTTGCTCCGCTCTTGTGCCAACGAAAAACACACAGAATGTTCATCGCAGTCCCTTGGGGAAAGATTGACAGATTGCTGTCTCAGCATATGCATACACACGCATTAAAAGCATACGTTGCCATCAGAAGTGCTAATACAAACAGTCCGACATTAGAAATGCAGTTCATCATCGACTGTAGCAGAGTAACCAACAAATCAGCAGTTGCACATGCGATCATTTTAATCACACAAGGTCACCACCAATATTGAGACGACAACCACGTGCTATTTTCTGAATCTGTTTTTGATGTCTTGGAAATTGTAGGGTCAGGTTATAATAACACAGCAACAAGTGTTTATTGGTTTCTTAGTGTGTAGCTTTGTCTGTGTCATATATAGACTGCCGACACCATAATGTGTCTGTCTGGTGTATGTGTTGTAAATCAATGTTATTCAACTGGTGGCCTGAGGGAAAATCCAAGTAGGCTACCAAAAAAATGCATGCGTAATCAGGGAACAGGATAAGGTAGTTTTTTTTTTCTTTAATAAAAGAGTATTGTTCAGGAATAACACCTCTAGCATGAGAATCCAACAGGTAGAAATCTTGAAAATCCCGTTGAACAGAAATCCTGAA